TTGTGATCTTCTCCCATGTGCTCTCTCTCACACACACACATTCTCTCTCTCTCTATTTCTTGTATATGTGCTGTCTGCCCATCCACCCCAGAGACAGAGTGAGACAGAGTGAGAGAGAGAGAGAGAGAGAGAGAGAGAAAAGAGAGCGAGCGAGAGGGGAGGGGAAACCAATCGGCACAGAGAGCCAGTCTGTTCTCAGCTCCCACTCCAGCGCAGCTCTTCTGTCAGACAGGACTCTGTCTCCACCATCACACACTCTCAGACACATTCACTCACTACCTGACAGCTGACAACACATTTTCAGTTCCTCGGCAGCAAGACAGGACTAGAACAGCTCGGTCCAAAAGAGAGAGACAGAGAGAGAGAGAGAGGGGAAAACAGAGAGGGAGTCAAAGAGGAGGAGACAGTGAAAAGAGAGAGAGGGAGAGAGAAAGAGAAACACTGACTTTACTGGTGCTGCACACGCACACACACACACAAGTACACACACGCAGTCAGACACTCCAGCTCTGAGGAGGCTGGTCAGAGGCTGGAGACGGTCACTCCAGAATGGAATGGAACTTTGGAAGGATGGAAAGTGAACTGAGGCACATCAATCCAGACCTGCTGCAGCCCAGCAAGAGCTTCAAGAAGCCGTCGTCCGGGACCATCACGCTCAATGTCGGAGGGTTCCTCTACACCGCCCACCGGGTCACTCTCTCAAAGCACCAGGGTTCCTTTCTTGAAGAGTTGGCCAACGGTAAGAAGGCGGTCCAGCACACCGACTCCATGGGCAACCCCTTCATTGACCGGGACGGTCCAGTTTTCCGCCATGTGCTCAACTACCTACGGACCGGAGAGCTCCAACTACCCGACGACTTCCGCGAGGCTGGGCTCCTGCGACGAGAGGCTAACTTCTACCACCTGAGTGAACTGGCAGAGGCGGTCGTCGACTGGGAGACTCAGAGGGCCGCCCAACGGGAACCGGCATTTTTAGAGGTGACTGACAGCCACGAGCGATCGCAGGGCCTCAAAGTGTACTGCAGCGACGCGTCCTTCATTGAGAAGGTCAAAGGGCGACTGGTGCAAATCTCCAAGAGTCGGCTGGATGGCTTTCCCGAAGAGTTTGAGGTCTCGTCCAACGTGATCCAGTTCCGCCATTTCATCAAGTCAGAGTCCGGCTCCAGACTGGTCCTGAAGGAGGACAGCACGTTCTTGTGCACGCTTGATTGTCTTAAATTAGAGACGGTGATGCTTGCACTCAAATCAAGCTTCAAGCTGATCACCAGCCTAGACAGCAGCAAAGGATCGGTGGTGGCAGCTGAGGCCCTGCACTTTGTCAAGTAGAGCGGTGGCAGAAAAAGGGAAGAAGAAGTGACAGACAGAGAAAAGAGTAGAGCCTGATTTCATTTCCACTCTGCTGATGTAAGGTACTGCGGCTTGAAATCATGTTATATGTATCGGGTGGCAGTGTAAAACCGGGTGGATGTTATTAAAGGTAGGGTGTGGGGTTTTTTGAAGTGTGGTTGAATGAGGAACTGACGCAATGTAAGAACTGATGTCATGAGTCAGAACGAAATGTCCTGGAAAACAAGTGTGAGACAAAACATTCACAGACAATAATGTGTTTTTCCATATTAGGCACAAACGGAAAAAATACTACTAAAAAAAAAAAACGAGTGCTCAAGTATAGAATATCACACTATACACTGTATGTTTGTCACTATATCCTGCCTTTAGTGTTATCTGACTGAAGAACTCTTTTTAGAAGACTTCATGTGGTCCTACATCACAACACACGTAGTGTTTTTTTATCCACTGACACATACATCACTATCTCAGTGTTAGACTATTACCTACATGTTTTAAAGATTTTTTTCTATTTGTATTTACATGTGACACAGACTTTTTCAAAGAGGCAGCAGCACACACGCAAAAGAGAGGAAAAAAAAAACCAATCAGCTGAAAGGCTGGGTTCCCCCACGACAGGTCACTAGTCCAGAACAAGGTCACTTATTATGTGGTTTTGCAAAGTACTGGCAACCAACCTGTCTGGTGTTGAGCTACAACTCGACACAGCCTGTGTGGTGGCTGAAATCATACCTCAAGCAACGGCACTTCAAAAAAAAACCTAGACTGTCCCTTTAATATCCTTACAGCACCAGTGTTGACTTAACGCGGCGAATGGCGCCGACCGTGCGCCGCTTTGTGAGGTGGTATTTTTCAGAACGCAGATCGAGTGGGGTCGATGTAGTGTTTTATTATTTCTCAAATAGGTGTGCAAAAAAACTCACAAAACCGCAGTTCAATCCTTCATTACGGAAAAGCCAACGTGTACGTGAAGCTCGTCACCATCTGCAGCGTCATCACAGCTCCTGCTGCAGAAGCATTCACAATCGTGCACTGTCGTGCCATTCAGCTTTTTACTACGCACTCTGTGTGTGTGTGCGAGTGTGCGCGCGTGTGTAAATGTTTAAGTGGGCCAAGTGTGTGTAGTTGGTTTAATAGTTCTGTGTTTAGTTTATCAGCCTGACAGAGCCTGCAGAAAACCGTGTCTGAACTGTGGTTGTTCTGAACGAACCAGTCTCAACTTCAAGTACGACCGCGCGCCGACGGAGACGTTTTACATATCACAACCACACAACGAATACGTGGTTGTCAACGGGGCTTGGGGTCTAGCATGATGCATGTGCACTAAATACACTGTGTGTTTGTTAGTGCTGTGAGCCTCTGTGAAGCCAGTGCCACGACAATGCCTATTTCTTTCCATTGTGAATATTTTACAAATAAAAGTGAGACTGAAAGTATCGGAGCAACGTTTCTGTGTCCAGTTTGATGCCACTGAACTGAATCTCAGATAAACTGTGGGAACAGCATGAACAACAGCACAGAGAAATCGTTTGTGTTCCACCTGAGCTTACGCACACCGTGTCAACAAGGTGTGAATTATCCAGAATGTTCTGTAACAGCCATTTTGCTGTGGTTAAAAACAAACTATCGGAATATGAACTATCGGAAATTACTTTTTATTGTCAAGTTAAACTAATTAAAAAAATTAAGAAAAAGAACAGAACGCTTCATGTCTGGGGAAATGTTTTTGTTTTTTAGTTGTTTTGTTTTTTAAATCACAGCTATCTGATAAAACGTTAATGAATTAGATTGATAATAAAACATTTATTTTAATGGCCTCGGGGGACTCCATCATCTAAACAAAAATGTTAATAACAATAATGAACAGGTTAGATTGGATTAAACTTTATTGATCCCACACCAGGGCAGCTGTCGTGTTGCAGCAGCAGCA